AAAGAAGATAGAACATGCAAATTATATGTGCACTAAATGGAAAAGCATAAGACACAAATCATGCAATCAGACTTACCAAAAGAGAAAGTATAAAGAGAGAAAAGATGAGCATTCAGTGCCAAACCCTGAAGAATTCCACCCAGCCCACAGTACTAAGGTAAGCTCTCTGCTTTTCAGTCTTGTCACGTGTAGAAGAGAAATAAAAGTATCCAACTTGTAGGGTTGTCACTAGAAGTAGCCCTTAACAGAATGCAAGGTACATATATAAGTACTTGATAAATTTAAAACGTATTTTGTTCTTATGAAAAATACACAAAAATAATCATGGTTGTGTGAGACTGATATGATGAATGGTATTTATTCCCTCTTACTAAGATTGTTCTTGTATAATTTTTAAATGGTTAATTAATATGAGAAATGTTTCTTTTCTTTTTAATTCAGATGGCTGGTAGTATGCTTTTACAATATTTACTCTTCAGCACCATCACAGAAGTGATCTGTGCATGCATAACTATCAGATGGATTGTAGTAGCATTGAGTCATCCAGAATACAGTGAAAAGAGTGAGTAATTTTCTTTCTGGCTGGCTGATCAGGATAAAACAGCTTCTGTAAAGAGCCCGGTGATGGGTATAAAGGAGGGCACGTACTGCATGGAGCAGTGCGTGTTTTATGAAAACAATGAGTCATGGATCACTACATCAAAAACTAATGATGTAATGTATGGGGATTAACATAACATAATAATAAAAATAAAAATAAATAAATTCTTTAATTTCTCTAAAAAATAATAATAATAATAGTCAGTGGCATTTAACATTGCCTTTGCCTAAAGCAGTGGTAACAGTTGGGGAAAACAAGAGGCTTACCAAAAAACTTAATAGAAAAAACTGAGGAGTAAGATGTCCACTGGGGACCTTGAAACTATGGCAGTACCTGGAAATAAAGAAGACCATATGCATATGCAGAGACGTGTGCCTGCCAAGGAAGACCTGTCAGTACTCTGATCTCCCACCTCTGGCTGACCTGAAGTCTGCAAGCAGTAAATGATAGCTAAGGTAGAGTTGCAACCTGTCTTCCGAGGCTTTAAAGACTTACCCCCCCCCACACACACACACACAGCTTCTCAACAAAGACTGAGAAATTTCTTGGTTCAAAGCAGTTAAGGAAATCTATGTCCAATCATTTAATGACCACTAAGCTAACAGAGCAGAGACATCAATGCTCACACAGGACAAACATGCATACTCTACACAGTTAGTTCAGGAAAGCCACCCAATAGACTAAAAAAACAACAACAAAAATCAACCCCTGGGAGGATCTGATTTCCAACATTGCTACATTATATCATTTTAAATATGCAGTTTTTAACAAAAGAAATAATGAGATATGCAAAGAAACAGAAAAGTATGACCTAAACACTGGGGGGGGGAAAGCAATAAAAGTTGCATCAAAGGAAGCCTAGATATTGAACTTACTGGGAAAAAAAAAAAACTTTAAATTATCTATTATAAGGATGCTCAAAGAACTGAAGAAACCATGTCTAAAAAATCTAAAGGAAAATATGGAAGCAATGTTTCATGAGAAAGAATATCAATAAAGACATAGAAACTATTAAAAAGAATCAAGTAGAAATTCCAAAGCAGAAAAACACATAATAACTAAAATGAAAATATCACTCAAGGGGCTCAACAGAATATTTGGTCTGACAGAAGAAATGATCCACAAACCTAAAGATAGGTCAATTAAAATTATCTATTCTGTGGAACAAAATGATAAGTGAAGAAAAATGAATAGAGCTTCAGACATTTTTGAAACACTATCAATCATACCAAAATGTGCATAATGGAAGTCGCATAAGGGGAAGAGATAGAGAAAGAGAAAGCTACACAAAGAATTTTGGGAAAGTATATTGGATAAAAACCAAAAATTTGATGAAAAACATTATGCATCCAAAAAGGATAAACTAAAAAAGATCCAAACCTAGACATATCATTAACAAAATGCCAAAAGGCAAAGACCAAGAGAAAATCTTGAAATCAGCCAAAGACAAGGAATTCATCCTGAAAAGGGTATCTTCAATAAAATTCCTCATCAGAAACCATGGAGGCCAGAAGACAGCAAGTGGGATGACATCTTCAGAGCACTGAAAGAAAAATACCATCAACCAAGAATTATATATAATATTGTAACAATATTAATAATAAAATAATATTGTTAATAAATTTAAAAATAATTCAAAATAATAAAAAATAAAAAGGTAATTAAAGTGGTATAAAGAAAAATAAATAAAATGGCATGAAAGGAAACATTCATGTAACATAAGAGAGCAGTAATGGACAAATAGAATAACAAAGACATACAATATAGAAAACTGCAAAATATCAGACATAAACCCTATCTTATTTGTAGTTACATTAAATGTATATGGATTGGACACTAATCATAAGGCAGAGATTGGCAAAATGGATTTTTAAGATGTATTCCAAATAAATGCTATATACAAGAGACACACCTTAGATTCAAAGACACAAATAGGTTGAACATAAGTATGGAAAAATATATGCCATATAACAGAAACCAAAAGAGAGGTGGACCAGCTATAGTAATGTCAGACAAAATAGACATTAAGACAAAAGTTGTTACTAGACATGAAGGACATTCTTATAATAATTTTTTTTTAAGTTCGGTCCACCAGGAACACATAGCAATTGTAAGCACATATGCACTAACAATAGAGTCCTGAAATACATGAAGAAAAAACTGACAGATTTGACAGGAGAAATACAAAATTTTAAAAACTACAGTTGGCGACTTCAGTACCCTATATTCAATAATTTACAGGAAAATTGTGCAGAAGGGAAAGGCTATAGGAGAAATTGAATGACACTATTAACCAACTAGACCCAATAGACATCTGTACAACATTCCACCCAACAATGCAGAGTACATGTTCTTTTCAGGTGCAAATAGGTTATTCAGGTGCACATAGATTATTCTCCAGGATAGGCCCTATTTTAGGTTGTAAAACAAGTCTCAATAAATTAAAAGGATGGAAATCATAAAAATATGCTCTCTGATTATAATGGAATTAAATTAGAAATCAGTAAAAGAAGGAAGTTTTAAAATATCACCAATACCAACTTGCATTCCCACCACCAGTGTAAGAGGGTTCTCCTTTCTCCACATCCTCTCCAACATTTGTTGTTTCTTGCCTTGTCAGTTTTTGTCATTCTAACTGGTGTAAGGTGGTATCTCAATGTGGTTTTGATTTGAATTTCCCTGATGGCTAATGATATTGAACATTTTTTCATATGTCTGTTAGCCATTCATGTGTCTTCTTTGGAGAAGTGTCTGTTCATGTCTTCTGCTCATTTTTTGACTTGATTATTTGTTTTTTGGGTGTTGAGTTTGAGAAGTTCTTTATAGATCTCGGATACCAGCCCTTTATCTGTAATGTCATATGCAAATATCTTCTCCCATTCCGTGGGTTGCCTCTTTGTTTTGTTAACTGTTTCCTTTGCTGTGCAGAAGTTTTTATCTTGATGAAGTCCCAAAAGTTCATTTTCTCTTTTATTTCCCTTGCCTTTGGAGACGTGTCTTGAGAGGAGTTGCTGCGGCCAAGGTCGAAGAGGTTGCTGCCTATGTTCTCCTCTAGGATTTTGATGAATTCCTGTCTCGCATTGAGGTCTTTCATCCATTTTTTAGTTTATCCTTGTGTATGGTGTAAGAGAATGGTCGAGTTGCATTCTTCTGTATATAGCTGTCCAATTTTCCCAGCACCATTTATTGAAGAGACTGTCTTTTTTTCCATTGCATATTTTTTCCTGCTTTGTTGAAGACTAGTTGACCACAGAGTTGAGGGTCCATATCTGGGCTCTCTATTCTGTTCCATTGATCTATGTGTCTGTTTTTGTGCCAGTACAATGCCATTTTGGTGATCACAGCTTTGTAATATAGCTTGAAATCAGGCAACGTGATGCCCCCAGCTTTGTTCTTATTTTTTAACATTTCCTTGGCAATTCAGGATCTTTTCAGGTTCCATACAAATTTTAAGATTGTTTGTTCCAGCACTTTGAAAAATGCCATTGGTATTTTGATCGGGATGGCATTGAAAGTATAAATTGCTCTGGGCATCACAGACATTTTAACAATGTTTACTCTTCTGATCCATAAGCATGGAATATTTTTCCATCTTTTTATGTCTTCTTCAATTTCTTTCATAAGTGTTCTGTAGTTTCTAGAGTATAGATCCTATAACTCTTTGGTTAGGTTTATTCCAAGGTATCTTATGGTTTTTGGTGCTATTTTAAATGGAATCGATTCCCTAATTTCTCTTTCTACAGTTACATTGTTAGTGGATAGGAGAGCAACTGATTTCTATGCATTACTTTTGTATCCTGCCACATTACTGAATTGCTGTATGAGTTCTAGTAATTTGGGGGTGGGGTCTTTTGGGTTTTCCACATAAAGTATCATGTCATCTGCAAACAGAGTTTGACTTCTTCTTTGCCAATTTGAATACCTTTTATTTCTTTTGTTGTCTGATTGCTGTTGCTAGGATTGTAGGAGAAATCTACACATTCAATGCAATCCCTATCAAAATACCATCTACATTTTTCACAGAGCTGGAAGAAACAATCCTAAAATGTGTATGGGACCAGAAAAAAACCCGAATACCCAGGGCAATGTTGAAAACGAAAACCAAAGCTGGGGGCATCACGTTGCCTGACTTCAAGCTATATTACAAAGCTGTGATCATCTAGACAGCATGGTACTGGCACAAAAACAGACACATAGATCAATGGAACAGAATAGAGAGCTCATAAGTGGACCCTAAACTCTGTGGTCAACTAATCTTCGACAAAGCAGGAAAAAATATCCAATGGAAAAAAAGACAGTCTCTTCAATAAATGGTGATGGGGAAATTGGACAGCCGCATGTAGAAGAATGAGACTGGACCATTCTCTTACACCATACACAAAAATAAACTCAAAAATGGATGAAAGACCTCAATGTGAGACAGGAATTCATCAAAATCCGAGAGAAGAACATAGGCAGCTACCTCTTCGACTTTGGCCGCAGCAACTCCTCTCAAGACACGTCTCCAAAGGCAAGGGAAATAAAAGAGAAAATGAACTTTTGGGACTTCATCAAGATAAAAACTTCTGCACAACAAAGGAAACAGTCAACAAAACTAAAAGGCAACCTACAGAATGGGAGAAGATATTTACATATGACATTACAGATAAAGGACTGGTATCCGAGATCTATAAAGAACTTCTCAAACTCAACACCCAAAAAAACAAATAATCACGTCAAAAAATGAGCAGAAGACATAAACAGACACTTCTCCAAAGAAGACATACAAATGGCTAACAGACACATGAAAAAATGCTCAACATCACTCGGCATCAGGGAAATACAAATCAAAACCATACTGAGATACCACCCTAAACCAGTTAGAAGGGCTAAAATTAACAAGACAGGAAAAAACAAATGTTGGCATGGATGTGGAGAAAGGGGAACCTTCTTACACTGTTGGTGGGAATGCAAGCTGGTACAGCCACTCTGGAAAACAGTATGGAGGTTCCTCAAGAAGTTAAAAATAGAGTTATTCTATGACCCAGCAACTGCACTACTGGGTATTTACCACAAAGATACAGATGTAGTGAAAAGAAGGGGCACCTGCACCCCAATATTCATAGCAGCAACATCCACAATAGCCAAACTGTGGAAGGAGCTGAGATGTTCTTCAACAGATGAATGGATAAAGAAGATGTGGTTCATATATATAATGGAATATTACTCAGCCATCAAAAAGGATGAATACCTACCATTTACATCAACATAGATGGAACTGGAGGAAATTATGCTAAGTGAAATAAGTCAATCAGAAAAAGACAATATCATACGGTTTCAGTCATATGTGGAAGATAAGAAATAGAGCAGAGGATTATAGGGGAAGGGAGGAAAAACTGAATGGGAAGAAATCAGAGAAGGAGCCAAACCATGAGAGACTCTTGTCTCCAGGGAACAAACGGAGGGTTGTGGAAAGGGAGGTGGGTAGGGGGATGGGGTAACTGGGTGATGGGTGTTAAGGAGGGCATGAGATATGATGAGCACTGGATGTTATACCCAACTAATAAATCATTGGGTACTACACCAAAAACTAAAAACAAACAAACAAACAAAAAAACTATGTGGGCTAATTAAGTTAAATTTTAAAAAAGAGGTAATAAAAATCTGAATAGATTCATCACAAGTTAAGAGTCTGAATTAATAAGCAAAAGAAATAAAGAAAAGCCCAGTCCCAGGTGGCTACATTGTAAGTTCTACTAAAAACATTTTTAAGAGAGAGAGAGCATGTGCACATGCATGCATGTGGGGTGTGGTGGGGGAAGGGGCAGAAGGGAGGGAGAGAGAGAATCTCAACTAGTCTCCATCCTCAGTGCAGAGCCCGACATGGGGCTCAGTCTCACGACCCTGAGATCATGACCTGAGCCGGAATCAAGAGCAGGATGCTTAATTGACTGAGCCACCCAGGCACCCCTCTACTAAACATTTGAAGAATTAGCACTAATATTTTACAAATTGTTTCAGAAAAAAGGAGGAGAGAATACTTCCTGACTCGTTCTATGAGGCTAGTACTACCTTGATACCAAAACCAGACAAATACATCAAACAAAAGGAGAGTATAGACCAGGATCCATTATGAATATAAATGTGTAAAACCTCAAAGAAAAAAACATTAGCAAATGGAATCCAGCAACATTACAAAAGTATCACACATCATTACCAATTAGGATTTATCTTAGGAATTCAGAGCTGGTTTAACATGAAAATCAAATGTAATACATGCTGATAAATAGCATGTTCATAAAATAAGAGACAAAAAAACACATGACTATCTCAATAGGCATAGAAAAAGCATTTAACAAAATCCAACACCCTATCATGATTAAAAAAAATTCAACAAACTAGGAATAGAAGGGAATTTCCTCAACCTGAAAAGGGGCATTTAGTTGTGGGGGGAAAAAATCCACAATTAACATCATACTTGATGAAGAGATACTGAATCCTTTTGCTCTAAGATATGGAACAAAACAAGAATGTCTGCTTTTGCCATTTATATTCAACATTGTACTGGAGGTTCTAGCCAGTTAAATTAGGCAATAAAAAGAAATGAAAGTATCCAGGTTGGTTGGTCAAGGAAAAAGTAAAACTAACTCTCTTTGTACCCAATATGATCTTGTGTATATAAAATGCTAAGAAATCGACACACAAAAAAATCTAGTAGAACTAATAAACAAGTTCAACAGGTTGGTAGGATATAAGATCAATATATGAGAAAATCAATTGTTATTTCTATAAATGAAAGCACAATTACAATAACATTAAAAAATTAAATGCTTATATAATTTATATCCAGGAATAAATTTAACAGGAGGAGTGTAAGACCTGTCCACCACAAATTAGAACACATTATTGAAAGAAATTAAAGAATATTTAAACAAATGGAAAAATCCCATGTTCTCAGAAGATTTAATATTAAGATGGTAATACTCCCCAAATTAAATCTGAGATTTAACACAATCCCTTCCAAATTCTCAGCTGATTTTTTATAAGCTTATCCTAATATTCATATGAAAGTGGAAAGGACACAAAATAGGCAAACCAATCTTTAAAAAAGAAAACAAACCACTACACACATATTAGAAAGACCAAAATCTGGAACACTAACAACACCAAATACTGGTGGGAATATGGAGCAACAGGAAGTCTCACACATTACATTGCTGGGAATGCGAAATGGCACAACCACTTTGGAAGGCAGTGGTTTTGATGGTTTCTTAGAAAACTAAATATACTACCATGCAATCTAGCAATCATATCCCTTGGTGTTTACCCAAAAGAGTTGAAAACTATGTCCACAGAAAACCTGCACACAGATGTTTACAGAAACTTCATTCATAATTGCTAAAACTTGGAAACAACCAAGATGTCCATCAGTGGGTGAATGGACAAATAAACTGTGGTCCATCCAGACAATGAAATATTATTCAGTGCTAACAATAAATCAGCTATCAAGCCATGAAAAGACATGAAGAAACCTCAAATGCATATTACTAAGTGAAAGAAGCCAATTTGAAAAGTATACATACTGTATGATTCTAACTATACAACATCTGGAAAAGGCAAAACTATGGATATGTTTACTTTTTATGGAGTAAAAAGATCAGTGGTTGCCAAGGGGCAGGGGACATAAACAGACAGAGCACAGAGATTTTTTTTTTTTTAAGATTTTATTTATTTATTTGAGAGAGACAATGAGACAGAGAGAGAGAGCATGAGAGGGGGGAGGATCAGAGGGAGAAGCAGACTCCCCGCTGAGCAGGGGGTCCGATGCGGGACTCAATCCCGGGACTCCAGGATCATGACCTGAGCCGAAGGCAGTTGCTTAACCAACTGAGCCACCCAGGCGCGCCGAGCACAAAGATTTTTAGTGCAGTGAAAATACTCTGCATATTATAATGATGGATATATGTCATCATACATTTGTCCAAACCCATAGAATATACAACACCAAGAGTTAACCCTAAAGTAAACTATGGACTTTGGGTGATTATGATATGTCAATCCTGATTAATCCTTGGTAACAAATGTACCATTCTGGTGACTCGTGTCAATAATGTGGGGGGACAAGGGATATATGGGAAATCTCTGTACCTTCTTCTCAATTTTGTTGCAAACCTAAAACTGCTCTACAAAAAAAAAAAAAAAAAAGGAAAACAAAGTTGGAATACTCATGCTTCCCAATTTCAAAAGTTACTACAAAGCTACAGTAATCAAGACATTGTGGTACTGGCATAGGATAGATGTAAAAATCAGTGCAGTAGAATCAACACTCCAGAAATATATCTTGAATAAATCTGAAAAGCATTTGTTACAAAAACAATTCCATTTACAATAGCATCAAAAATAATAAAATACTTGGGAATTAACTTAACCAAGTAGGTGAAAGACTTATACAATGAAAACTAAAAAACACTACTGAAAAAATTTAAAAAGACATAAGTAATGGAAACATATCCCACATTCATAATGGGAAGAATTAATGTTGTTAAGATGTCAATACTACTCAAAGAAATCTACAGATTCAATGCAATCCCTATGAAAATCTCAATGCCATTTACACAGGAATAGAAAAACCTAAAATTCATATGAAATCTCAAGTGATCCCAAATAGCTGAAACAACCTTGAAAAAGAAGAAGAAAGGTGGAAGACTAATACTTCCTGATTTCAAAACTTACAACAAAGCTACAATAATCAAAACAGTGTAAGTACAGTCTTTTCAACAGATAGTACTGGGAAAACTGAGTCTCCACATGTAAGAGAATGAATTTGGATCCCTACCTCACACCATATTCAAAAATTAACACAAACTGGATCAAAGGCTTAAATGTAAGACCTGAAATAATAAATCTCTTAGAAGAAAATATGGGGCAAAACTCCATGACATTGGATTTGGCAATGATTTTTTGGATATGATACCAAAAGCACATGCAACAAAAGTAAAAACAGACAAATTGGACTTCATGAAAATTAAAAATTTTGTGCATCAAAAGACAATACCCACAGAGTAAAAAGGCAACACATGGAATCAGATAAATATTTGGAAATCATATATCTGATAAGGGGTTAATATCCAGAATATAGAGAGAGCAACAGAAATTAACAATTCAAAAATGGGCAAAGGACTTGAATAGACATTCCTTCAAATAAAGTATACAAAAATGAGCAAAAATCTTCAACACCACTGAACATCAGGGAAATGCAAATCAGAACCACAATGAGAGGGCGCCTGGGTGGCTCAGTTGGTTAAGCGACTGCCTTCGGCTCAGGTCATGATCCTGGAGTCCCCGGATCAAGTCCCGCATCGGGCTCCCCGCTCAGCAGGGAGTCTGCTTCTCCCTCTGACCCTCCCCCCTCTCATGTGCTCTCATTCTCTCTCTCTCAAATAAATAAATAAAATCTTTAAAAAAAAAAAGAACCACAATGAGATACCATCTTACACCCATTAGGATGGCTACTATCAAAAAATTAAAAAC